ATAATTACACTGAGATCCAGTCCCATTCCCCCAGAATTTGGTTCCCATACCCCCAAGGATTATGGACATGGTTAAGATCTCTTGACTTAAACCAAATGGAGCTTTCTTTACCTCTACTGTTTCTTTATGTTACAATTTAAAAATAATCAATGCAATAATCAAAGGGATGGTTTTAAAGTTTAGTGCAATAAACGGCTTTGTCAGTTAAACGGGATACTTATTTATGCAGATACCGACACTGAGAATTAAAAGATGGATATTTGAGTAGGAATAGGGGACATAGGGATTTGATCCCAAAAGATGAACAGTTAGGAGCTTTGAAAAACAACTATCTTTCCATACCTAGACTGGCCACGGATGGGCCAATTTTCCATTGGATTCGCCAAGGATTTACTGATAACCACAAGAAATTTAAGGGAGATGATAGAGTATGGTGGAGAAGAAAGGCAGACTTCTCCAGTGGCTCTTCAACCATCTATGTGGTGGAGAAATGTAATCTTCCACATCTAGTATCGCCCTAGGTGACTGTTTCATGGTACCTGGAATGGGGTACCAGATCCAATAAGAGCTATGCCTCCTCCCTTCAATCTAGAACAAATAACAAACATCCAGATCATGGCAATGTTGATTTTCCTATGAGCTCAACTATCTTTATTAAATCCACAACATGGCATTTATTGCATTGTCACTCCTGCCCATCAACCAGGGATCACCCTTTAATCATAGGGATGCATTGTAAATTAATAGGTCTGCAGTGTGCGAGCTAGGACTAGACCCTGCTTACGTACCATAACACAACCCCTTCTCTAGGAGATCACGTGGATTGATCCATTCAGCTCTTCTTTTAGATGCAAGGTCAGAGAGTCGGGGGGCTCACATTATGTATTAAGAACTCAAGCCATGTGCCTCCTTTTCATTCCCAAGGGTACTGAAGCCTAAAGGTAGACCCCATAATAAAAACTGGTACCATTCAAAAGGTAGGGTGTCCGTAGTTTTTAAAGCTGATCTCCATCCAGCATAAAAATTAAAAAGCCATCCCACCCATCCCCTATTTATCTAGTCTAAAGGGTTTAAAAAAAAAAAAAAAATCCACCTAAAAGTCTAATTTACTTACCTGAATCTATGGTCACATGACACTTCTTTCTGCTGAACAGCAGAGTGTCCTTCTTTGGTTG